CCAAGAGATTCTCTCGAGATGGTGGTAAAAAGCAAGTGATGAAGTCACGTTTACACGCTGACACAGCGTTCCTTCGGTGATGTACAGGCAGTGTATGTCCGTGGTCGTTCAACGTGTGTATACAGTATCACCGCCGTAATCTATCTTGATTCTTACCAAGTTCCACGGCTCCTATTCCCGGCAAAGGCATTGAATTCCCTTGGCTCACTGTTCAAGTTGGTTCGATGGATATGGTTTCGTGTTGGCCCCACAGCAAGGTTGACCTCGCTGAGCCTCTTCTCTACCCACGACGCAAACCTTGACTCATAGGATTTCACCCATGCTTGACCCAAGCTTCCTCCTGCAACTGACGTCCGAGCTGTCTGCGCATAGTAGAGTATTCACCAACCCGGCCAGCCCCGAATTCAAAGAATTGCTCCTCTGCTGGAGTGATATCGGCTTGAAAATCCCCGGAGCCATTATTCAGCCAGCACGTGAGGAGGAGGTCGCTATTGTGGTGCGTAGAGTGCAACTTCAGATGGCATCGAAAATGATCAAGTTTCCAGGTGAAACTCGCCGCGCAGGACAACATTGCGTTCGTGCCCAAATCCGGGGGACACTCGCTGTGGTCTACGATTGACGGGGACGGCTTTGTGTTGGATTTTGACGTTGCGCAAGCGAATCACGGTCGACGAGGACACGAAACAGGTAACGCTGCAGAGTGGGGTGGTCACGAAGGAAGCGACGAATACGGCGTTCAAGATTGGGCTTTGTCTTCGTGAGTGCGTATTGGTGTATACGAAAAAAAATAGCTGAAACTATTCGTCAGCGTTGGGAACCGCGAATACAGCGGGCGTAATACCGATGTCCGGCCTCAGCGCGATATCCGCCGTCTGCGGGTACACCTCCGACAACATCGTTTTCGCCCGTGTTATCACGGCAGAGGGTACCCTCCTCACCGTGAACGAATCCTCGCACCCCGAGCTCTTCTGGGGCTTGCGCGGCGCGGACCAGCTGCTCGCTCTGGTTACCGAAATCACGCTGCAAGCGTATCCCTTGAGTGTGCTGGGGACCGACGACGGCACGCTGTGGACGGGCGCGATGGTACCCCGCCGCGCGCGTGCACGAGGTGCTCGCCGCCCTGACCCCGCTCATCGCCGACACATCCGCACCCACGGTGGGGCTCTTCCTCATCGCCTCGCTGCCGCCCACGCTGGAGACCGTCATCACGGTCCTCCCATTCTACCTCGGTCCCGCTGCGGCAGCCGAAGCGTTCCACCAGCCCCTGCTCGCCCTCGGGCCGATGAGCGCGGCGCTTAAGAGCGTCCCGTGCAACCGCCAGAACGACAGCGTCGACGCGTTTTGCGGCAAAGGCGGATTCAAGCGGTTTGCGGGGGCGGGCGCCACGACATTCGAACCGGAAGCTTAAGTCTGGCCACGAGCTCAAGGCGAAGTGCCCCGACGGAGCGGCAACAGCCTATGCATTCGAATGGAACTCCTATTCACCTGCGACGAAACCCGTCGAGCAGGACACCGCGTTTTGCCACAAGGGCATCAAGGTGTGGGCGGTGAGTTTCCCTGTTGAAATGTCAACGATCTGGCTGACGGCGTCGAGCAGGAACTGCTTTCCTGGTACACCGATGCTGCGTCCCACAAGGACGTTTTGCGCATCGAGCAGGAGACACTTGCACATTTCCGGTCGCATTATCCAGGCGAACAACCCGTGACGTACCAGAATTGGTCGCGCAACGTGCCGCTCGAACAGCTGTATCCAGACGCAGAGAAGATGGCGGCGTGCGCTGAGAAAGACATGGGATCCTCGTGTTGTGTTTACGAACTTTCTGCTTTGAACGGGAAAGTGGGTTCCCCGGAATTGTCGCAAGGGAGAGCGTAGAGACCAAGCTGGACCCAAAAATTCTTGAGGGAGTTTTTTGTCAATTTTCGAGCCCGATTTCCGAGCCTGGAGTTAAACGACAGAGTCCGCGAAAGTTGAAAGCCCAATACGAGGGGAAGTCTGGAAGAATTATAGACAAAAACCAGAAACGGATGGGAGCTGTCCAGGGAGCAAGGGTATGCCGGGCCGTGATTGCCGGAACAGGGGCTGGTTGGTTGGTTCGGCCGTCAGGCCTTAAAAAAATTTCCGGGAACCATCAATTTTGCTGCTCTGGGGGGTTCAAAATGGTAACATATGGTACTCACTATGTGTCTGAACTCGTCTCCAGGCACAGAAGTAGAGCCTATAGCTTTTGGATAGGTTTTGATGATTTTCGGCGGTTCAACCCCGATTTGGTACTTGGTTGGTTCATGTTGGCTGCCACTGGAACAATGTTTCATGACGCTTGGTGGCTTATAGCAACCACGACAAGCTTACCTGTGATGGTTATAACCGGTTTCAAGCAGCAGTGAGGGTGTTTTGAGGTGTCATGGGCGGAAAGATGTTGGGAAAACGTGACCCGCGGGAATGATCTCCCTTATATGGACGTCACGTGGTTGGTTGGTTCAAACCGAAGGTCTTATTTTCAAAAACCGGCCCCTGTTCCAAAATTCACAGATATTGATACCCTCGCCAGGGAGAGATCAGGGTGAAGGATATGTATGTGCGTCTGAGACTCCGAGCCTGAGGCCTGAGGACAAGCAAATTTGTAAAAATAAATGGGGGCCCGGAGGAAGAACGAGTCGGCGCCGTGAGATCGCGTGCAAGCGGTGTAGCTATGGAAAGACCTAGGAAATTTTAGGTGCTTTCACTAGGACTGTCTTTCAGTAAGACGACATGAAGGTGAAAGACAAGAGGCGAGTTGTTTGTCTTGAAGAGCGTTGCCAAGCTCGGGCCGGCACGTTGCCGAGGTCCGTCATCTGATGTGAACCGGGGCGGGCCGGTCTGGTTCAACCATGAATGTTGAGATGCTTGGATTTAGCGGCGACGGATATGTACTATAACAAAGTCTAATTGTATGTGGCTGCTGTTGCTCCTTGAACTCAACGGGGTTCAATTCCCTGCGTTCTGGCCAAACTTCCCCTTGATTAAGTATCTCTCCTCTCGCGGAAAGTCTCCCTGTGTTAGCAAGCACGGACCGAGCCGTAAAATTTCGAAGATCCATAGCATCTTGTGTTCTGAGCACGGGAAGTCGTGTATGCATGTGCACAGCTGCTCCCCATCCGCGTAGGAAAAAGGAACATAAAAACCAGCAAGATAGGGTCCTGATCCTGGGTGCGTCTCAATTATTCTCCTTCCTACGTCTTTTTCCTTTTGTCCAACACAAAATGCTCCCATATATTCCGGTTGTCCATGGAATAAGGAAACGGGATGTAGTGTATGGTGCACACCCACTATCTTGTGACATGAAACTTGGCCATTATGTAAGCAGTAGTCTTTTTCCTTTTTGTCCCGCTAAAAGTACTTGCCTGTATTCTGGTCGAACACAAGGCAATAAAACGGGGTGTGATCTATAGAGCACAGCTGCGTGGTCTGAAGAGCTTGCGGAAATATCGTCAAGCAGCACGGCAGGGTTCGACTCCCTGTGTCCCGACTTCGTTGTTTCGCTGGCCTTTTTTCTCCTCTGTTTCGTTTGCGTGCTTGTACGCGAATTTGGTACGTTAGAATCGCTGTACCACAGGCCCTGAGCTACGTCCACCGCAACATGCCGGCATGCATTATGCTGAACATCAAGAAGGAACTGGGATGTAGTGTATATACAGCGCACGGCTGCTACGTATGCATCCGCGAAATTTGTTAAGCCAGGGTTCGACTCCCTGTATCCCGACTAGTTGTTCGCTGGATATTTTTTCCTCCGTCTCTTTTCTTTGCACACATGGAAACAACACATGCGGTGCGTCGGAAGCACGAAGGCTGTCTAGCCGGGCGGGGGGTTCACAAGTTCACAACAGCTGGTTGAAGAGCAGATTGATTGCAGTGACACAGAATTCACAATATCCCAACTCAATGCAGTGTATTGAGGTTGAACACAAGGCAAGGAACCGGGATCTGGTGTACGGTGCACGGCTGCTGCAGCTATTTTGCACAATTTCCATTAAGCAGCAAGACGGGGTTCGACTCCCTGTGTCCCCAATTGTCTTTGATTGGACTTTGTTCATTTCCTCGTTCTTTTTGTTTTTGTCGACCACATTTATCAAGGTTGAACCTTGAACAACGAAAAATGCAACGGGATGTGGTGTACGGTGCACAACTACTTTGCCATGTTGCCGCTGCAGAGTATTTGCGCAGCAGGACGAGGTTCGACTCCCTGTGTCCCAATGGTTGCGGTCGAACATATATTTTTGAGGCCCAATCTGGCTGAAATGTGCATACATCTTCTGAGTGAACACAAGGGAAGAAACGGGATATGGTGTACGGGGCACAGCTGCTGCCGGTAGATCCTTGAGATGAATCTTAAGCAGCAAGACGGGGTTATGTCCCAGTGGATGTCGGCATCTTACTCTTTTTATTTCATCTCAGAAGCTGCTGTCATGTATTCTGGTGGAACACAGTACAGGGAAGTAAATGGGATGTGGTGTATGGCGCACAGCTGCTGATAATTCGATATCTGGGGAAAGAGAAAATAAACAGTAAGACAGAATTTGATTCCCTGTGTCCCAATCAATCAGGATTGCCACATTTTTCATTCATCTGCGCGAAACATTTGCATATACTGAGGTTTAACACAACACAAGAAACGGGATGTAGTGTACGGCGCACAGCTGCTGTTTATAGGTCATCCAACAGGAAGTTAAAGCAGCAAGACTGGGTTCGACTCCCTGTGTCCCATGGTCAATTGTACTTGATTTGTCTTTTTCTTTTCCCTGTTCTTTTTGTCCACTGCATGTATCAAGGTTGAACAAAGAAGAATGAAATGGGATGTGGTGTACAGTGTACAGCTGCTATCCGTTCGGCTGCTATCCATTCGCAAAAGGTAGCAAGACAGGGTTCGACTCCCTGTATCCCGATCCAATGTTGTCCTCTTCCTGTTTTAATGTCATCTCCACAAAATGCTCCCATATATCAAGGCTGATCACAAAGGAAGAAACGGGATGTGGTGCATGGTGCACGGCTGCTTCGAGTTCAGGAGATTCTGGACCGATTTGGCAGCAGGACGGGGTTCGACTCCCTGTGTCCCAATAGCGCAGCTGCGGGTTTTTTTTCTTTTTCTTTTTTGCCTGTTTGTCCGCCTCCAATGCTGCCCTATATTGAGGTTGAACATAGAAGAAGGAAGCGGGATGTAGTATACGGTTCACAGCTTCTCTTTTCAAATTGGGAAAATGGTGTAAAGCAGCAGGACGGGGTTCAATTCCCTGTATCCCAATAATCTTCCTTTCCAGGTCTGTTTCCATTTTGTCTCGCTAAAATCAAGGCATATATTCAGGTTGAATCCAAAGGTTGAAGGAAAGCGGGATGTGGTGTACGGCGCACAGCTGCTGGACACTTGACTCTGCTAGGCATGAGTAGCAGGACAGGGTTCGACTCCCTGTATCACTGTATCCCAACTGCTCTGTTGCGCTTCCTTTTCTTCTTCTTTTTGTCCCGCTAAAGTGCTCTCATGTATCTCCGTCGCAGATAGACAAATGAAACGGGATGTGGTGTATGGTGCACCGCTGCTCTCGGTACCCAAGACCCAGGAAAATTTAACGCAGCCCGACAGGGTTCGACTCCCTGTATCCCGACTTTGTGGACTTTTGCACCTTTGTTTCTTCTTCTTTGTCCCGCCAGAACACTTTGAAATCTGGCTTCTAAGCAGCAGACCAGGGTTCAACTCCCTGTGTCCCAATAACTTCCTTGTCTAGGATTTTTTTCACTCCTGGGAATTTCTCACTCAAGGTTCACTACCAAACAGATGTGTAAAGAGTGATGCTCTTTTTACCAGATGCTTTGATGAATTGAGGTTGAACATGGAGGAAAGAAACGGGATATGGTGCTGCTGACAATTCGATTCGAGGAAGGAGAAAATAAACAGCAGGACAGGGTTCGATTCCCTGTATCCCGACTTAAGGTTCACTCCTTTTTATGCTCACCTCAGTGGCGGATTTGCTGTAACTATTGGGTCAAGTCTGGACCGAAGGAACCTCCTGTTGACTCCGGCCAGCCGTTAGCAGAGGGACAGAGTTGCTGGAATGTGTTCAAGTTGAACGCAATGGAAGGGAACTGGGATGTGGTGTACGGTGCACAGCTGCTGTTTATGGGTCATTCAAGGGGAATTTATGTAAAGCAGCAAGACACCCTGTGTCTCAATGGATTGGTATTGATATTCTTTTTTTCGGCCCCACTTCAATGCTTGCATACATATTCCAGTTGAAAGCAAAGGATGGAAACGGGACATGGTGTACGGTGCACAGCTGCACTCGATACATTGTTATGGTTATTGTGGCAGCAACTCCCTGTATCCCAATTGTTCATGCTGTTGCTCTTTTTCACTTTTGTCCCACTCAAATGCATATATATCGAGGTTGAACATGGAAGAAGGAAAGCGGGATGTGGTGTACGGCGCACGGCTGCTGGTAGTATAGATGTTGGGGACAGAGCTTATGTAAGCAGCAAGACGGGGTTGATTCCTTGTGTCCCAATTATGTACTAGACCCCTGTCTTTTTTGTCCCCGATCCGGCTAAAAGGCTCATGCATATTCTGGTTGGATACAGAGGAATGAACTGGGATGTAGTGTACGGTGCACGCCTGGCGCTAAGTATTCGAGGAAGTGAGAGAAACAACAAGTTAAGCAGCAGGACAGGGTTCGGCTCCCCGTGTCCCAATTCTATAGTCTTTCACGGCCTTTTTTCTTGTCATCCACACCACAAGATGCTTGCATATATCGAGGCTGACTGCCAAGGAGGAGAACGGGATGTGGTTTATGGGTGCACAGCTGCTTACGATAACCAGGGGGACATGTGCCAGCAGCAGGACGGGGTTCGACTCCCTGTATCCCAATTGTTCGTCCTCATGCTTTTTTGGTCGTCCTCAATTGCTTTTTGTCCCGCTAAATATGCATATATATCGAGGTTGATTATGGAAGAAGGAAAGCGGGATGTGGTGTATGGCGCACAGCTGCTGCCAATAACATTGCGGATATATGTTGAGCAGCAGGGCGGCGTTGGACTCTCTGTATCCTAATGGTCTTCCAATACCTTTCTTTTTGTCTCTCCTTTTTCTCCTGCTAAAATGCTTCCATGCATCATGGAAGAATGAAAGATGGTGTGGTGCAAGGTGCACGGCTGCTCTGCATTCGGAGTACTCAAAGGGAAGATTCAAAGCAGCAGGTCGGGGTTCGATTCCCTGTGTCCCAATCCGTCCCTCACATCTTTGCCTTTTTGCGCTGCACATTGAAATGCTTGCATGTATCTGGTTGATTATAAAGGAAGGAAACGGGATGTGGTGTATGGTGCACGGCTGCTTCGAGTTCAGGAGATTCTGGACCGATTTGGCAGCAGCACAGGGTTCAATTCCCTGTATCCCAATTCGCTTCGACTCATGCTCCCTTTTTTCCTGCTAAAATGCTTCCATATCTATTGAGGTTACCCACCGGATAAGGACCCGGGATTTGGTGTATGTTGCACAGCTGCTTATCATTGGTCGCGAAAAAGAAACTCAAAGCAGCAGGACAGGATTCGACTCCCTGTGTCCCAATTTGCTAACTGCTGTTCTTTTTGCCTCTTTTGTCCCGCTAAAATACTTATATGTATTGAGGTTGGACATAAGGCAGGAACCGGGATGTGGTGTATGGTGCACAGCTGTTGTTCATGATCCTGTGAATGAGCGATGTACAGCAGCAGGACAGGGTTCGACTCCCTGTGTCCCGTCTTTGTCGGACAGTTCAAGTTTTGCTTTTTGTCCCGCTAAAATGCTGGCATGTATCGAGGATGCATACAAGGGAAAGAAACCGGGATTTGGTGTATGGTGCATGGCTGCTCCTCATTCACGGGAGTGAATGTTGACTTCAAAAGCAGCAGGACAGGGTTCGACTCCCTGTGTCCCAATTATCTATGGTACATATTTACCTTTTTTTCTGCTTCTTTGTCCCGCCAAAATGCTTACATCTGTTCAGGTTGAATCCAAAGGGAAGAACCAGGATGTGGTGTATGGCGCACGGCTGCTCTTCCATCAGCGAGAAGGTATAAAGATTAAAAGCAGCAGGACAGGGTTCGATTCTCTGTATCCCGACTTTGCGGACCTTTGCACCTTTTTTTCTTCGTCTTCTTTGTCCCGCTAAAAGGCTCATGCATATTGAGGTTGAGTACAACGGAAAGAATCCGGATGTGGTTAGTGTTGCCGCGGCTCGGCTTCCGGCGGCTAGCCGGTTCCAAGCCGATTGATTTGAGCGAGAACTATCACCAACCCACCTTCAAAATTTGCGACTTCAGAGACCCAAATAAGGCCTCTTGCATTGGAAACCTTCAGCTTGAAGTCCACGGTCGCCAGGCCTCAACGGCTCGGGCGGCTTAGCCGAACTGAGCCAGCCGTAGCCAGCCGGCGGCAACACTAGATGTGGTGTACGGCGCACAGTTGCCCTCAATTTGCAGACACCTACTAGCAGTCCCACATTGCCAACAAGACAGGGTTCAATTCCCCGTCGGGTCCCAATAATTGGCTTTCATTTCTTTTTCTCTCTCTCCCTTTGTGCACCGCAATATGCTTAAATTTATCGAGGTTGAACACAAGGGAAGGGAACAGGATCTAGTGTATGGTGCACAGCTGCACTCGATAATCCATTGCGAGAGTGGATGAGCAGTAGGACAGGGTTCGACTCCCTGTATCCCAATCATTCTCAGGCTTCAGAATCTTTTTCACAGATTTCCTGTGTTAAGATGCCTGCAGACATCGAGGTTGGATATAGAAGAAGGAAATGAGGAAATGGGATGTGGTATATTGTGCACGGCTGCTGCGGCTATCTTGTGAGACTGAAACTTCCATCAAGCAGAAGGACAGGGTTCAATTCCCGGTGTCCCAATTTGCCTTAATGTGCTCGCTTTTCAAAATATCATTTCATCTCCACAAAATGCTCACACCTATTCCAGTTGAAGACAAGCAAAAGAACCGGGACCTGGTGTACGGGGCACAGCTGCCTCAATGATCCAAAAGACAACGCAGTGGTATGCAGCAGGACAGGGTTCAATTCAATTCCCTGTGTCCCGATTCAATGTTGCACTCTTCCTCTTTTTATTTCATCTGGACAAAATGCTCCCACGTATTCAGGTTGAACACACGAAACATACAACGGGATTTGGTGTACGGCGCACGGCTGCTGCAGCTGTCTTGTCACACTTCCATTGAGCAGCAGAACGGGTCCCTCTCTTCCATTGAGCAGCAGAACGGGTCGACTCCCTGTGTCCCAATAGATTGGCAGCTGCGGGTTTTTTTTTTTTTTTGCTTGTCCTCTCGACGGAAATGAAAACATGTATCGAGGTTGGACATGCGATAAAAGACGTGGGATATAGTGTATGGTGCACAGCTCCCCCCAATAGTCCAGTAAACAACGCAGTGGTGAGCAGCAGGACGGGGTTCGTCTCCCCGTGTCCCAATTCTATAGTCCTTCACGGCCTTTTTTCTTGTCGTCCACTGCCAGATGCTTGCATATATCGAGGTTCAACGTCGATGCACAAAATGGGATATGGTGTACGATACACATCTGCTTCTCTCTTCTGCTGTCATGAAATCCGTGTCTAAGCAGCACGGCAGGGTTTGATTCCCTGTGTCCCAATCATCCTTCTGAACTTTCCTTTTTCATTTGTCCCCCGCAGGATATGCCATGTATTGAGGTTGAATACAAGCAAAAGAAACGGGATTTGGTGTACAGCGCACGGCTGCTACACTTGGCTCTCATGGACATGTGTTGAGCAGCAAGACAGGGTTCGATTCCCTGTGTCCCAATAACTTGCCTATCAAGGACTTTTTTTCTCTCCTATGTTAGGATGATTGCATGTATCTAGGTTAAATACAGAGCAAGGAAACGGGATATGGTGTACGGTGAACGGCTGCTCTGTATGCATCGTATCCAGAGTGACTGTGTAAGCAGCAGGGGTTCGACTCCCTGTCCCAATCGTCCTCCATCCAAAACCTTTTTTGTCCTGCTACAATGCTCGCATATATTCAGGTTGAATGAGAAAGAAGGGAACGGGATGTGGTGTACGGTGCACGGCTGCTCTGTATTCGTACTGGCCAGGTGAATGGTATACAGCAGCAGGACAGGGTTCGACTCCCTGTATCCCGACTGAGAAGGGTCTTTTCAAATTGTTTTCCTTTTTACTTTTTGTCTCGCTCACATATCGAGGGTGAGTACAAGGGAAAGGAAATGGGATGTAGTGTACGGTGCACGGCTGCTGCAGCTTGTCTTGTAGAATTTCCATTACAGCTATTTGCGGAACTTAGGGCGCGGCCAGATTTTTTCCAAAAAGGGACATTTTTTATCATTTTCACCATTTCGCTCGCTGTGGCCTCAAATCTCAATGAAATACAATTATTCTTACTGCATCCTCTTCCTCTTGAGATTCCGCAGATGCGAGGTGCCTTAGATTTTCGATTTGAGGCACCTGGATCTGCACTGTTTGAGTTAGCGTATTTCACCGCATTTTGCCTGCCATGTTCGCGTCAAGGCCCCGAATGATCCAGAAATTTGACATGGCCAACCCACATGTATTACACACCTGCAAGGCTGCCCAGATTGTGGCTACTCCACCCAGTACCTTTGCAGCATGCTCAGGTGAAATTGCTCAACATCTGATGGCAGGAATCAGAAGGAATCAGACATGAGATAAATATTCTAAGCATCCTTGCATCTGTATAATCATCCCAAATGTTATATGCTAGGATATTGGAAGATTCACACCTCTTTCGCTCACACAGGAAGTGTTATGCACGAAAACAGACCAATTCCTGCATATGGTCTATATTATGTAATTATCACCGATCGTTGGGTGCATGCAGGCGCGGAATGCATGGCGGAGTGGAATGGTTCAAAAGACCTAAGAGATTGCTTAAGATTTGAGCCTTATACAGCCGTTATGCCAAAATCAACATTTTTGAGAAAAAAATGATCCGCGCCCTAAGTTCCGCAAATAGCTGTAAGCAGCAAGACGGGGTTCGATTCCCTGTGTCCCAATTTGCTCTAAGCGGTGCCTTTTTGTCTGTCTTCCAGATTTCCTGTGTTAGAATGATTGCATGTATCAAGGTTGAACACAGAAGAATGAACGGGATGTGGTGTACGGTGCACGGCTGCTCTTCCATCGGCGAGAAGGTATAAAGATTAAAAGCAGCAGGACGGGGTTCGACTCCCTGTATCCCGATCATCTGCCTTCCTAGGTCTTTTTTCTTTTGTTGTCCACCGCAAAATGCTTCCATGTATCCAGGTTGAATACAGGGGAAGGAAACGGGATGTGGTGTACGGTGGCATGCACGGCTGTTAAACGTTCTCGTGTCGGCGGCGTGAAAGTTTGAGCAGCAAGATTAGACAGGGTTCGAGTCCCTGTATCCCGACTCCCTTTTCCGCGACTGCTTTTTTCTCTCCTCTTCTTCTTTAATTTTTCCTTCCGCTGACTTCCGTGTAAGTATTCGGGTTCGTTGTCGGCATTCGATTGGGGCTCGGAGTGGGTTGTATGATTAAATTAAATTGAATTAAATAGTCACTGGGGAAACGCACGAGGAAAATGCACGGAATGATCACGGCGACGTTGAACCGGCAGATGAGCGATGGCGGCGTACAGCCCGCCTGATTGATCAACGCAGCATTATTCCCAGTTCCAACGTCGGAGCTGTTAGTCTTGTGTATGTTTAGAGCTGAGCGGTACGGATCGTTGTCGGCCGAGGTGCGGTGCGGCGGGTTCCCACTCTGAGGCTTTGCCTTCACCTGATCAGTGTTGGGAACCCACAACGAGCGCAACACGGGCAAAAGCTACGGAAAAAGGATGTCGTGAAAGAGGCGCTCCGAACCGTCGGGCGTCGGCGTCGGCTTTTCGGGCACGGTTCTTTGTCGCCGACTTACCGCTGCTGTCAATCACCCTTACGTATCCCCATTCCGCCTTCTTATCTTCTCCTCCCCCTTTTGGCAGCGCCTCCCGATTCCCGATTCCAAATTCCCAGCGTCCTTATCTCTCCACCGATCACCTAGTGAAAACTGTACACGCCGAGCGGATGAAGGTTTTCCACCCACTTTACTGGGTATCCAAGAGGGGAAAATCGCCGAAAAGAGGGGGAAAAGGGGGAGAATGAAGGAAACTCGGAAGACTACTTCTTTTGGCTCCGATGACGCGTAGTACGTGATGAATTTGTTCAAGTCCGAAACATATTATTCTACCTATCTTTCAGAGTGCAATTCCGCCCATTGTCAACCCCGCGACATCCCACCGTTTCCCCGCACTGCTTGCACGGAACCGTGCATTCTTCTGTGCACGCAAAGATGTCATAGCTTCCTCCACAGAGCTCGCTTCGACAACGTCGACATGTGCGGGGGCCTCTGGTACGTTCACGAACCACTCGGCGTCGTTTCCCATCCAGCCCCCTGGACCTGTAAAGCTCGAGTTAGAAGACAAGTCAATGCCAAGTAGATGAAGACCCGCACGTAATGTATCTCGGCAACGAGTCACCAACATGTACTGTCTCGAATGAAATGCTGTCGCGGCTTGGTTCTGGATCTGGCAACGGCTGTGGAAAATCTTCGGGCTGCAGAATCTCCTCAGGCTCCTGTCTCAGCAGCGAGGAGGAACTATTGTGTGTCTCCTGTGTAATCTCTGGGTGAACTGTTGAAGAAGAAGCACGGGGTTCTACACGTGTGGCCGTGAGACACGCGGAGCTTATGGATGTGAAGCCGCGCTCTCGAGAAATGGTCGGCGGTCGTGGTGGGGAAGCCATCCGTGGGCGAGAAATTGCCAAAGTTGTCGAGATGGAATCTGGTACGAAGTCTTGCGCATCGAGATCAAGAACCGCCTTTGTTGGCTGGCTGGATCTCGCGATTCCGGTGATGAAACTGGGGATGGGAATCTGTGGTGCGGCGAAAACTTGCCGGCTTTGAGAAGTAAGCTCCATGTTATCCGAATTGAGCTCGCGTGAAGCTTTGATATTGTTGGACTTGTCCCAAGTCTTAGCGTACGCCATAAGAACCTCGGTGGTGACATAAAAGCGTTCTTTCCCATCCGCTGAGCAATTCCATTGCTTCGCAAAAGCTTCGTAATTGATTTTACCATCGCCCTGACCAGCCAAGACCCGCATCTGCGAAAAGAAATATTTGCGGGCCTCTGGGGTTGTCGGCGGCAATGTCGGCAATGCCAGTTTTTGTTTTTTCCTCAGCCAGTCGTCGTTCCTGTTGAGTGGATACCGCTTTGCGGCATCCTCGCTGAAAGGCTCCATGGCAAGGCGGATTCGAATCGACTCTATGTTAGGTTTGTCAGTTCGCGGATTGATTCAAGGTCTTAAGCATACCTGGGATAGGGCAAATTCCAAACTTTTCGTGGGTCCGTTCGTACAAATCTCCATTGAACCAACCCGAGTACGATTCGGCACCATCGATCAAATCCGAGAGGTAATTGAGGAGGAACGACGTGCGATTTATAATTCCGATGTTGTGATGGTATTGCCAGTCAACACCGTACACATGTTTTGCCCACGCCTGAAACATTTTCGGTCTCGGTCAAATTAGTTCGCAGCGTGGAAGGACAAAATCACACCTGCAGATTGAAGAAAACACGGTGATCTTGCAAGCAATTGACGGTCAGACGAGGACCAGCTGAGCTGGGTCATAAGCGTGAATGCCAACAGTGGATGGATCAACGCACCGTGAAGGGCACCAAATTTTCGATATATATCGCCGTGTGGGCCACCTTCCACGTTGTTCGTGCCGCGCTTACATGCCCATATTGTCAGTCCATTCTCATCGATCCCCGCTTTCTCGTACAGCGTGACGCCATCAGGATCGGAGAGATACCCTTCACGGGCAAGGTCGAGGACTGCGTCGGCCTTCTTCCGTGCCTCCTTTGTGAATAAAGGTTCCCGGTTCTTTGCGTTTGGGGCATTTCCGAACATGTCGTAGACATGTTGAATGGCAGGAACGAGCACACTCGGTTGCGGAACGTGTCGAGGAACACGTTTCTTGATATATTGAGGATTCCTTTCCAACATCTGCTCGAAAGTGCGGTTAAACTTTTCCCGACAAACCTTGTCGACTGCACTCCGGGCGACGGGGTCCCAGCGCATGAGGTGGTCTCGCAGTGCTCGGGTAAAATCCAGGCGCATCCCGTGGTCACCGTGCATTGGGATCATCCTAAAGGCGTGAAATATGTCCTTTTTTATCCGCGTGTACACGTAGTTGGTGTCCGGAGGCGCCTCAATCAAGTGCTGAAGTTTCAAAAGGAAATCAGAGTTGGCGCGGTTGGTTGAAGCCGTCGAAGGCTCCTTGCAACTACCGTCAATCTGGCGCTTCTTTCCTGTGATCTGTGAGTCGGCGATATTGACCAATCCACAAATGATTATTATTACCATTGTGAACCTCGGAATGAGCTTGAAGCATTTGCAGCTGCACCGATTCCGATATGTCATCCTCAGGCTGTTCGTCACCATGATTCCAGTCACCCTCATCAGAATCACTGTCTTCGTCATTGAGCTCCGTCTCGCCATCCGGAGATGAAACATGTGCCGTGGATGGAAACATGTCGACTTCAGGGATTGCACTAGATGTAGCCACGGATGGTGCTGACGAAGACTCTGTTCTAATGCCAGTGTCCGTCTCTGTATTGATCTGCGACTGCCAGAATGGTGTCACAAAGCAGCGAAAAAAAATACGGAAGCAATTCTGCACTCACCAAATTGCACCGGTCAAACGTGAGCAGCGAAACAGACATGACAACAGAAAAGGTTGGCAATGAAGAGGCGGATTGGAGTTGTCCAAAGGTGTATGCACCGGCAGCGGTTCGTTTATTTCCGGATGACTCGGGAAGCTGATGAAAAATTGCAGCTGCGGAAGGCATGGTGACTGTGTCAACGTCAACCAAGACCCGATTCCGGTTCGGGGTGTACACCCGGATCCCCGCGAAGGATGATGGCTGGACTGCAGAGATTTTTCCGTAGGCGGCGACAGCGCCACCCTCATGGACCAGCAAAACAACCCGGGTTCCAGCAGGCGAGTTGATAGAAATGGTGTCAATAGGGGAAACTTTCGAGATTTCCTCGAAGACGAGACGTGATGCGAAAACGTCAAGAGCCGCATAACTTTTCATATCTGGATTTAGATTCTTTAACTCCCAATCTTCGCTTCGACGATGTGCATCGTCCTTGGTAAGGTATTTTCCTAGAACCTTCTCGACTAATGCGTCCAAGGCCCCTGAATCTTGGCGACCAATAATCCCACGCTGGATAGCGTACTCTTTAAGATCGATAACATTGAAAGAGCCTTGTTCCGAGAGCTGGGGAAATTGTTTTTTCAACCGTGTCAGGTCCCCCTTGACTCCAACACCAATTTTGAAGACTTGGTTCGATATCAGGAGGCGGAGTAGAGACAGAGGTAGGGTCTTGAATTTGTGAACCTTTCAATCGGCATGAGTTAGACCGGTTCCAAATGGTTGGCTAAAAAACAAACACGAACGGGAATAATGAATATGGACTGGGGCATCGAATGCGGAGCAAGTTGAATAACAGAAACTCCGAGCTTCCTGGATATATTCCATTCCGCGTCTATGCTGACGCAAGACGGTGTTTTTGGATCTTTATCGAGCGAGTCTATTAATGGGTGACATACACCCTCCACTTGCTGAGGGGTGTCGAGAACCTTGATCTGAACATTGTTTGCCAGCTCCAGTGCTTCGAGACCGTGTGCTGTAGCGATCGGCGTGAGTTTTTGCGAAAGTGATGAGAAGGCGCCGTAAAATAGAGCTCTGTCCTGGTTCAGAGCATAAGCGAAAGTTGAGGCCAAATGAGCCAGCCAATACCTTCACCGGATCATCCGAAAAAATGACCTTAGGATCTTCATGTCCGTAGGTCTTGAACGATTCAGCAATAGCTTTCAGCGGGCCGATTCTTTCCTCGTGACTTTTGGTTGCAGTTAGGACTTGGGTGCGGATGTAAGGCCCGGCCATGCATGTCCACAGAGCAGTAAAGATGGGGACTCCATCGTACTTCGCAATGTGCTTGACGATCTATCGTTTGGTTGGTTAGCTTAAGAAAATGTTGCTTAGTAGCGGACACACTTTGTGCGAGTCATCCGCAGACAAATCTTCGCCGTCGAGACATCCGGTAAGCTGGTCTGCATTTGCTTCATCGAGTTCGATGGCCTTGTTCATCATATCGGACAGGTAATGTTCGC